TTCCTGGACTGTTCTCAATGCTTGTATAGCTTTCATGAGGAAGAGCTTTTTAAGCATTGGGGGTTGGGCGGTCAGAATTCGGGCGATGTCGTCAAGGCTAGTGTCTTGGGTTTCTATCTTTCCAGCTGGCAATTGTAACAGGTTTCCTTTAGCTGCCGCAGGGGTTCGACCATCATGCTCGTACAGCTTTCTGTCATTAAAGGTGGCTTTCCAGAAGCAACTAATGTAAGGGCCTAAATAATTAGAATAGGGTTTTGGGTGTTCCTTATTATACTTATACTATAATTGGCCCCAAAACCCTATTCTAATTATTACAGGCCCCTATATCACAATGTTGCTTTTGGATTGGGGTTGAGGGCTGGGGGCTACGTTGCGTTCTTGTAGTACAGGTCGAAGTTGGCGCCAGCTCCGGTTGTTAGGCGGGTCAGGGTCCTAAGGTTAGTAAACTAGTGCCTTAAGACTTGGAGCAGGGTTTTGGGGGTATAATATATCATACTTACGAGAATAAGGAGCCCCAAACGGGCCTTGGTCATTTTGGGGTGTTGGGGTCAAGTGTTCAGGTTCTAAGAGTGGTAAGCTTCGGGTTCAGGGCCTCCTGCTTGAGGAGAAGAAGCACCTGACTAACGTAGTAGGGGGCCTTAATCATTAGAATAGAATCTTGGGCTCCTTTATAGTATAGTAGAAATAAGGAACCCTAAGGAATCATAATGGTGATGATTTAGGCTTCTATATTACACCCTCCTCCTCAGTGGGAACCCCTGTCGCAAGACATGTTCGTCGATCTGCATCTGCGGGGGACTAATTACTAAGGACAGTCCACAACTTAAGTCCTAAACCACATTAAATGAAACACCGGCAAGCATCACATGTAAAGCATGAACCGTGCAAGCACCATCACACACCCGGAGTAAGTCTAGCGACCCCTTTCCAAGTAACCATCTAACTAGCCCGAATACTAGGGATTCTTGAACAACCCTCATGATAGTATGACATTTTTTCACCCCACCATGAAACAAAACATGTAAAGCTGAAGTAATGCCCGTTTCGTTCTGATCTTGTTCTTCTTCACAGGACCTTGATTGCTCCTGTCATTGTCATTACTACTGCTCGTGTTAGTTGAGCCTAACCTAGCCTAGCTAAGTGAGTTGAAGCGGACCCCTGAACTCTAAACTTTCAGCCCTAAGCCCCGTAAACTCAGAAAAGGTCACAAGTTACCTACTCAGCCCCGAAGCAGATGCTGATTTGGGCAGTTCTGTAAATGAAGGTCCCCTCTATAGGTCCCCAATCTAGTACGGCACCCTTATTAAAAAAAAAAAGGACCCCAAAAGGGACCCTTCTTTTTGGAGAACTTCGCATTTCTTCCGTGGGTTTCTGGCCTCCGGCTCCGAAAACGGATTCTCCACGTCGCCCTGCGCAGGTTAAAAAACCCGGTCTCGAGGGTTTCAGTCTCTCGGCTTTTCTGAGGGCTTTGGGCTTCGGATTGAGCATTTTTTTGGGCTTAGGGTTTCGGGGTTTTGGGGTTTTGTACCCGGATACCGGGTCTTCAGGGTTCCTGGATGGGTTCTATGTAGGACTTGATTTGTTTGAGGAAGAAGGGCTTTAAGATTGCAGAACAATTTTTGGGAGCTTCCGAAGACAAGGGGTACCTTATTTTGAGGTCCTTATAAAGGGGACCCTACTAATCAGGGTACTATATTAGGGTCCCCTATTTTCGGAAACCCCGTATTGTTGGGAGGCGAGTTTGCAAGGGTGGCGGATTGCAGCGTTGACTTGCAACTGCAGGGGGTTGTCTCCTTTCTCCGACTTCGTAGCACTCTCAAGACATGGGAACCTTTAGGCTCTAAGACTCTAGAAAATCCCATGGGGAACTTCTGCAGCAGATTCTAGTCGCAGTCTTGAGGATTGTAGAAATTGTAGAGGTTGGGGAGTCCCTAAAACCCTAAACCGTAAACTTCGTAAACCCTCAAGTGCTCTTTGTTCTCAGGGTGAAGCGGACTTAGGGGTGGGAGCGCCCAGTGCAAGGTGGGGAGTACCATGAGGGTTGGGATCCTGGGGGACCGGTAGAGGATGAAGAGCAGGGTTTAGGGTTTAGGGTTTAGAGTTTAGGGGTTTAGGGTTTAGGGTTTAGGGTTTAAGTCTCAGATAAGTGAAGCCTAAGAGCAGTGCCCTTTGCCCTAAACAAGCAGGGTCCTATAAAGTCCTATACTCTCCTGTCCCTTGAATATAGATCCCTTACCCTCAAAGGACTCATACTTTTAAGGCTTTTGGTCCGGACCAAAGACGCTATTATATAAGGCTTTTTGGGCTATTTTGATGCCAAGGGGATGCCTTCATAATTAGAATAGGGGTTTGGTGTGTATTCTGGTCCAAAGTGAATCTGCAAGTAGCAACAGCATGACGAAGACTCTTCAGGGATTACGGCGAAAAGAAAGAGGCTGTGGCTATCTTGCCCTTAGCTGCTGAGTTCATAAGCGCAAAAGAATGTACACCTTCAGTCTTCTAAGGCATCATATTGTCACAAAAACCTTAAAGTGTAGTAATTCAGCTACTAAGAAGCCTACTGTACTTGCTAGGTCCCGTGTTCCTTGACGTGCAGTTACACGTATTTGAGGCTGCAGGGGCTCTGGCACTTGTCCCTCTTTTTTCAGCCCTGCTATCTTCCTAATGCTCCTCCAACACAATGAAACCAATGCACCAGAGTTGCTTGAGCAGCTTGATTCGTTGAGGCAATGAAGCATCAGAAGATACGACCCACGGCGGCACTGCACGGGGTCAAAACGACCGGGCAAATAACTCAACTCAGGTGTGACGCGTTGCCCCTCGTCCACGTCATCTGGAAGTGCTCCATGGAGGCAGAAAACTTGTTGCGCGCCAAGCTGGCTTTCAGATGTTGTGGACCGGGTGCAAGCGCGAGGGTGGAACATAGAAAATAGAGAGTCGTGCGAACTGCTTTAGAAATGTTGAAGAACCGGAAGGACGAATATCACACTATTCCGAAGTAGGTGCATCTAAGTTCGTGGAGGTATCAATGCCGGCATGCGTGTCTGTAGGCGGAAGTCGCAGACAGGAATCGTAAAATGCAAGGCCTGGTTCATGCAGTACCAGGAAAATTCCCAAAGGGTTCAAGTAATAGTACAGTCTAGTCTAGTATATACTGTTGGGGGGTCAAAACTCTACTAAGTATGTACACAGTTACCCTATTGGTAGCTGGACCCCTTGGGAAATATGATGGCCATTGCTGCTGTTGCTGCTCCTCTTGCTTCTGCTAGTACCCCTACGCCTACTCCTGCTGCTACTCTTGCTCCGTTTTAGGGTTTCCATGTTACTACAGGCAAAGGATAAATCGGTGAAGCCTCGTCCGGTGGCCGCTTTGCGCTCATGGCGCAGAAGAAAACGGCGCGGCTACTGTGCCTAGGAGCTATACCAGTAGTTAGGGCTTCAGGGCTTACTTAGGGTTCAGGGTTATAAGGCTTGGGGTTGTGGGCTTTATAGAGTTTAGGGACTTGCTTCAATTATTTTGCGGGGCAAGGAATGTGGGATGGGGTTAGATCCATGGCTCAACAGTCTATGATGGCGTTTAGGACCCTAGGGCCTAGAAAGGGCCAGGACTGAGGGTAGCAGGAGCTTTTCGGAGTTTTGGCAAGGGATGTGGGGTGTAGGGTCGAGGGGGGTTTAGGGTTTAGAGTTTTGGGTATGAACGGAAAATGGAGATCGGAATTAAAACGAAATAAAAGCATCTCGTCAGAGTCCCGATGTGAGCATGCGATCTTGTCATTACGGCCCCAACCCTAAACCCTTAACCCTAGACCCTAACATTATGGTCCTCCCGTTCGGGAGACCTGCACCGCTGAGCCGAGCCTGTAAAGCGACGCCACGGCATTCTGCGATATTTCTGTGTAGGAGTTCGAATCTTCGAGGGCTTCCAGACAGGATTCTACACGGGTCGATCTACTGACTCCAATACTGAGAAAGGGGTTTTGGGGCTCATGATTAGAGCATGATAAGGGCTGTAGAAGCCGTAATCATTAGAATAGGGCTTTGGGGCCCATTATACTATGATAAGGGTACTATGAAGGTAGTTCTCTAAATCAGGGTCCCCTTTTAGGTCCCCAAAATAGTAGGACTCCCTTATGAAAAAGACCCTAAGAGGGACCTAGTTTAGAAAACTACCCACATGGGTCGCTGTATACGGTTTAATGTAGTGGCCTGAAAAATTCAAATAGGGTTTTGGGGATATAACATACTATCCGTACACATAACAGGAACCCCCCCCAACAAAAAAAAATGGTATTAGCAATTATTGAACTGTTCAGGTCCTTACATTGCACGGTTCGCTTTATACGGTTTGCACGGACGCCTGAGGCCTTGCAGCTTTTGAGGCTTTGAGCCGCTCCTATTGTTGATGATATATATCCTGCATTACCCATAATAAGGAATAGTCCATAAATCCCATAGTTTAGGGTCCCTAATTAATGAGGGTTTGATATCATCAACAGCCCTTGCTTTGGGTGTTGAAGCAAGGGGCCTGCCGTGCTTTGGAAGGGATTGCGGGTCTCGGGTGTAGGGCTTCATGGCGTAAGTAGGGGCTTTGTTGTTGCTGTAGGTTGTGGCTGTGATCATGGTTTTGCTTGTGGTTGTTGTTCTGGTTGTTGTTGTGCTCGTTGTTGTTCTCGTCGCAGTCGTGATCCTTTCACATGTTTGTCGCGATCGTGGGCACTGTTGGTCGCGGTCGCGGGTGTGTTCGTGCCAACACTCCTCATGTCTATAGTCGACGCCGAAAAGCTGGAAACCCAATAGCCTCAATTCTCAAGAGTAATGTATAGGGACTGCCAGCACTAATTGTCCCTAATCCGGTTTCCAACCTTTTAAGGATTCATCACTCTAGACCCGGGAGAACCGAGACCCTCAAAAGCTTCCAGCCACATGAGGCCTTTTTGCACAAACGTTCGCGACCAGAAACGGCCGCAGGATCAGAGGTCATTGCATCAGCTACGTGCGTTTCACGTGCTGGCTCCTTGCCATTTTAGGTCCACAATCACCGGATAGTGATCCGAGGGATCTCGGAGTGAAGGTAAGACTTCCTGCAGTGCATCCTTGGCACTCGGGTACTGCACGGGCTGGTGCACCTCGGCTCTAGGACATCTGAGAACCGGGGAGCCATTATACAGGTTCTGTAGGGTTCCAAAAGGGATCCTAAAGGAGATCTTGAGAGGTTCTTTTAAGGATCTTATAAGGGAGGGCACTTATGGCTTAGGGTTTATAGTTATGGCCTAAGGTTTACTTCAAGGCCAAGAGGGCGTAGACGGAAGGTTACTAGTGGATGTGTAAGTAGGATGAGCACCAAGGAGGGTTCTTGTACATGAGCGTATAAGCTGCAAACTACGACTTATCAGCTACTTGCTGCGCAACTTAGTCCATTCTAAATAGGAAGAGAAGGGTTTTTGGATACGTTATACTATATACATAGCAAGCAAGCCTCAGGAATAGTATTGCTGATTATTTCTGCTTCCATAGTAATTATGTATTTTGGTTTCCTGTGGACCATGAACTGCTCCATTCCGCCGGAAGGTAAGAAGATATGTATATGTGCAGATCCCTCTACAAGAACATCAAGAAAACCTAAACCTAAAAAACCCCAATCCGAAAAAGGCAACGACTCAAAACAGTAATCAAGCGCCTTATGCAAAACAGGATAAGAGCCGCTTGAACCTTTGGAGAGAACCTCCCAAATACCTTGCAGGACCCCTTAGTATAGGGGCCTTAATGACAAAAATAGGGTTTCGAGGAACATTATACGTTAACTATAACAAGGATCCCTCCCAACATAGTCTTGGCAATTATTTAGACCCCTAATATTATACCTGTAGAGTCCATAAGGGCACCCGAGCTTGAAGCCTTATGGGACCCTTCAACGGAACCCGATTCTAATTGGTAAGCCTGCCCAGGCCCTCTTTCGAACCCTTGCCGGTGAGCCCATATCGTCCCCTTAACGGGAAGCCCTCACATGAAGCAAACATCCTGAACCCCAAACCCTAAACCACTAAACCCTGAACCCAAAGCCCGAAAACCCTGAACCCTAAGCCCGAAACCCAGACCCCTAAACCAAAAGCCAGATACCCTAAACGCCCTACACCCCAAAACCCTAAATGCCCTACACCCCAAAACCCCAAACCCAAACCCAAAGCCCTAAACCCCAAACGCCCTGAACCCCTAAACCCAAAACCCGAAGCCCTAAACCCTAAACGCACTACACACCAAAACCCGAAGCCCTAAACCCTAAACGCCCTAAACGCCCTAAACCCCTAAACCCAAAACCCTAAACGCCCTACACCCCAAAACTCTAAACGCCCGAAACGCCCTAAACCCTAAACGCCCTACGCCCTAAAACCCGAAGCCCTAAACCCCAAACGCCCTAAACCAACAAAAAAAACCCAGAGGCCCCTCAGAAGACTCCTTCCCGGCAGGGCACATGTTCATGGAACTGGAGGTTCCCGGCGTAGAAGACATGGTCAATGACGGAGTAGGCGTGCAAGCCAATCTTCCTGAGTTTAGGGTTTAGGGCCTCTGGGTTTCAGGATGTAGGGCTTTAGGCTTTAGGTTTTGGGGCTTCCTGAGTTTAGGGCTTTAGGCTTTTGTTTACGGCTTTAGGCTCAGGGTTTACGGCTTTAGGCTAGAGGATCTGACACTTTTCTGCTTTCGGGCAACACAAATCTAAACGGATATATGGGTAGTTCTCTACATTGGGGTCCCTTTGGGGTCCTTTTTACAAGGGTGCCGTACAATACTGGGGACCTAGAAAGGGACCCGAATTTAGAGAACTACCCATATAGCAGTTCCCAGCCCGAACTTGAACCCTTCGCCTCAAATTGATCGAAGAAAGAAAAGCAGCTTGAACAGAATCTTGATACCGATGTAGATCTTTAGACGAGAGAGACACGAACAAAGCCTAAACAACACTTTGAACACACAAACATGTGTGAAACCTTTCAGAAACGTGCTGAAAGCGACCGCACTCCTATAAACAGTCTAAAAAACCCTCTTGCAAACCCCAAAAATCTTATCCAAACATTCCTCAAGGCCCAGTGTGCACACCCCAAAACTTTCATCCTTAGGGGCCGAGTACCTTAGCCCCAAAAAGGTTAACCTTTCGAACTATTTAATAAGTTTATATAAGCCCCAAAAGGTTGAAGGTTACCTACTCAGCCCCTAGGCTTACTCAAAACGCCCAGTGTCTTTGCTTGGGCCGACTGCGGCCCTCGAACCTATCACCAGGCCAGCAGAACCCGGGCATGATTAAAAGGGGGGCTCTTGCGGTTGCGGGCTCAGGTTTCAGGGTTTAGGGCTTAGGGGGTTTAGGGGTTTAAGGATTAGGGGTCTAGGGTTTGGGGTTTAAGGGTTTAGGGGTTTGGAGGTCTAGGGGTTTAGGGTGTTCGAAATTCAGGTCTGCAACTTTCCGGGTACAGGTTATAGTGTTCGACAGTCTTGGGGGCTTCGGGTAGTTTAGGGAGGAGGAAAGGTCTCCTTTGGTTGCTCCGGTTGTTCATCGTCTTTTTTTTTCAGGGCCGCGACCTTCTCACAGAGCATAGGATTTCGTGGGGGTCGTTCTACGTGCCCCTCTTTAGTGCCTTTACCGCCGATGAAGCTGAAAAGAAGTTCCCATGGAGGGCAGAAGCAAAACAAGCATTCCAAGGACTTCCTGTAGTTGTTTAAGGCTATGCTTCCAGGGACCTTATTCTTGGGTCCTGAAGGGGTCTGGGGCCCGAACTGTAAGGTCCTTGGAATGATTTTTTAAGGCTGTGTGGAGAAACAGCTTTTCGGGCTTCGCAACTTGTCATACCTGCAGTTGCTGTGGATAGGTTAATCCATCATGATAGAACCGAACTTATAGCTGCTCTGGCAGTGTACGTGGCTCTGTATCATGTAATCCCTAAACCCTAAACTCTGGCAGTTTACGTAGCTCTCTATCCTCAAAAAGGCTTGAAAACATAAGGATCTTCTCCGAGGCAGACCAACACCCCTTCGTTGAGGTTTCGAGCTTTAACTTATGCAGGGCTTGTTCTTAGGATTTTCACTTCTATGTTCTAAACCCCTTGTTATTAGGAATGCTAATCCGTATGTTCTTAGGATCTTCACTACTGAGTACAAAACCCCTTGTTATTAGGATCTTCACTTCTGAGTTCTAAACCCTAAAGCCAACGACTCCAGGACCCCCTATCCCCCAAACTCTGGAAGCCCCAAATCCCTGAAGCCTAAGGCTATGTTACCGAACTTAGGTAGGCCTTATGGGGTAAATTGCCGCCTGACAATCCCTAAACCCCAGGCCCTAAGCCCTTAACCCTGAAGCCTAAACACTTAACCCTAAACCCAAAGCCCTTAACCCTAAACCCGAAGCCCTTTTCCCTAAACCCGAAGCCGTTAACCCTGAACCCTAAACTATCCATGTCAAGACCCATCCGAAGGCTCAAGGCTTTGGGAGTACATGAAAAGGATTCAAGATGGAGGACTGAGGATTTCAGGGTGTGAAGGCTTTTCAGGGATATCCTAAACCCTAAACCCTAAACCCCCTACACCCTCAACCCTAAACTCCCTAGACCCTAAACCGTGGGTTTAGGGTTTAGGGGCCTTGTTTGTTGTCACCGGGTGCTCAACATCTTTCCTCTTCCCGTGAGCAATGTAGTCCCCATTCTCGTTGTAGAAGTCGTCCCACACCTGGGTTCTCCACTCAACCGCGGTTTTTCACTGTCGGCTTAAATTAGGGTTTAGGGTTATAGGGTTTAGTGGTCTAGGGTCCTCCACTCAACCGCCCGTGCTTATGCCAACGCTACACTTCTCCCCGGGGGGTTCAACTTTAGGGTCTCATTCTGTTTTGACACCGAGGTTTAGGGTTTTCGTATTGTTTTAACACAAAGGTTTAGGGTTTTCGTAATGTTTTAACACAGAGGTTTAGGGTTCTAGTACTGTTTCAACACAGCGGTTTAGGGTTTTAGTGTTGTTTTAAACCACAGAGACCGCCACCTAAGAAAGACAACACATCTCCTATTGGGAGACCCAGGCGCTGAAGCTCCAGCTGCGCGATGGAGCTCCTTAGTTTCTGAGTTCATGAGCCCCACAAAAGTGTGCACTTTCAGTTTCGATAGGGGATTCCATTATATTACCCCAAAAAGCCTATAAAGTCGTTGTAATAAGGGGATCCTATGATCCCACAAAGTGTAAAAAAAGGTGCAGCCATTCAGCTCCCAAGGTTCCTGCCAGCAGGAGGCCTTCCTTTCACCGGGCGGCTTCGTCTCCGGGTGCGAATTGGCATCCATGCCTGGGGTTTAGGGTTTTAGGGTTTAGGGTTTAGGGTTTTGGGGTTTCAGGGTTTTAGGGTTTAGGGTTTAGGTTTTAGGGTTTAGGGTTTAGGGCCTAGGTTCCCCCCCCCCCCCCCCGGTAGTTCTGTAAGTTAGGGTCCTTTCAAAAAAGGGGCGGGGGGTGCGTACTATTTTGAGGGACCTGAACAAGGAGCCGAATTTAGAGAACTACCCATGTAAGGGAACCCTTTTTTCCTAGAACAAGTATTTGGGTTTAGTGAGGGAGCCCATCAAGGATAAAGGGGCAGAAGAGGGTACTACTGGGGAGCCAAGATGCAAACGACCAGGTTCTCGCCCGCACCACGGAGTTCGTTGATGGCCGGTATCAAGCCACCTGCAGGACATGGCAGGCTGGCTAAAACCCTAAACCCTAAACCCTGAACCCTAAACCCCTAAACCCTAAACCCAAACTAGGTCAGAGAAAAGCTGCCTTACTGGGTACCTTGCTTCGTGCAAGACAGGAATACCCGTAGGCCCCTAAGTAGTTTCCTTTTTGAGGATTACTTGACAGGATTCTAAATATAAACCCACACAAAAGAACTACTTAGGGGCTTATGCTTATAATTACAGCTGAACATGACGGAGACAGACCTTCGACTGTTTATACACCCTAAACCCTAAATCCTAAACCCTAAACCGTTCACTTTACTAAGTCCTGCCGGCATGGTGCAACCGACATCAGGCAGAAAACCCTCTTGCGCCAAGGAAAACCCCCTACAAATCCCTGAGCCGCAGAACAGGAGCCTTCGCAGAGAAGTTCTGAGCTTAATCGTTCTTCTTCATCCTTTGGTTCTTCGCCCGAACCTCCGGGTTTGGGGTGTAGGGCCTAGGGTTTAGGGGTTTGGAATGACTGTAGGATTGACTTCTGCTTCAGGGAGACGGCTGAAGAGCCCTAGCGGCCGGGTGTCGGGCGTCGCGGGCTTCATTAGGCTTTGGGCTAACAGCTAAGGGTAGTTCAGGTTATGCTTTTGTCCTTGAAATAAAGTCCCTTCGAAGCCCTGCTTAGCTCCAAAGAACCCACAATCGTACTTGTCCAGCTTCCAAGCCCTAAACCTTAAACCCTGAACCCGAAACCCTAATTAGCCCATGGGGTCATCCAGGGATTCTGGTACCAGGCTACTTACTCCACTATTCAGAACCTTAAGGACGAAATGGCCCGGAAAAGTAGGGGCCACTACCAATTCCTATATGGTATATGAACCTTAAACCCTTTTAGGGTTCATCTCCTTAAGGTATACTATGAATTCCTATATGGTAAGGAAAGAGGGCGGCCTGCAGACTGCTGTTTTGTGGGCCGGAGGAGGGGCTTCCTCCATGAAGCCATGCTGGGGAACTCGTAAGAAATACTGTTGATGATAGAAATCCTCAGCGTTACTTTTAAGGACCCTATACTATGGGAATTATGGTACATTCCTAATTATGGGGTAATGCAGGATGTATATATCATCAACCGTAGTAGTTCCTTTTCGTGGTTAAAATTTAGGATCCTGTAAGGTAACCCCACAAAGGAACTACGATGGAGCCTGTGAGTAGGGTAGTGTTGCTCGCGGGCCCTAAACCCCCAAACCCTAAAAAACCCTCGAAGGCAAATGCTAGGGTTTAGGGTTTTAGGGTTTAGGGTTTTAGGGTAATCCTCGCATGACAACTTCTCCAGACCTTCTTCACACTGCAAGATCAACACTCGTCACTCGCGAAACCTACGGCTCGTTGATGATGTAAACCCTGCATTACACATGCTAAGGAATATACCATAATTCCCGTAGTTTAGGGCCCCTTAAGGTAATGCTACGGATCTATTTCATCAACCCTATCTCGTAAGGAGAACCTTGACACATCCAATCCCCCACGTCCTGCCCCGGAATCCTGCCTAAAAACCCTAGGCCCAGACCTAAACCCTCAACCCGAAACCCTAAGCTCTACACCCTCAATCCCAAAACCTAAACCCCAAATCCCAAACCCTAAACCCCAAATCCCAAACCCTAAACCCTAAAGCTTAAACCCAAAGCTTAAACCCTAAACCCTAAAGCCTAAAACCCTAGGCCCTAGACCCTGAATCCTTGCTGGAGCGCTTCTCCAAAAAACTTCAACCCCAAGCTCTGCGCTGAAAGCCCTGAAATTTCGGGGATTGCACCGTACCATGGGGGACCTAGAAGGATTCCCCTTAAGGGTTGAGGGTTGCAGGTTAGGGGCTTTAGGGCTTTAGGGTTTTAGGGCTTGAAGGGTTTAGGGGTTTAGGGGCTTAGGGCTTAAGGGCTGCTGTAAGGGTTCCTTTTGCAAGGGTTCTGTAAGGGTTACTTTAAGGGTTCTATGACATGGGGGTATCTTCTAGTGTAAGGGCTACTTTAAGGGCTCTAAATGGTAAACGTGCCTTCATAAACTTTAGTAATTGTGGGGGATATATTCTAGTATAGTGAAGTTGTTGGACTCTGGCGGCTTGCACCACATCCCCAAAACCACAAGGGAGTCTCACAAAACTGCGGCTTACAAATAATGATACTGTTGATGATATATAAATCCTTAGCAGTACCTTAAGGACCCTAGACTGTGGGAATTATGGTACATATTCCTTGTATTGTGGGTAATGCAAGACATGTATCATCAACCGTATGATCCTGAACATCAGGATACCACTCACAGGGCCCTGGCTGAATTTGTTTTGGGGGTTCCCTGGCTCCTACCAAGCCCCGCAAGCTCAGCTGCAAAGCATACACAAGCTTCCCCAGTAACCTCTTACAAGAACGAATTCATTCACATTCAGTTTGAGAAGGGAGGCCGAAGAGACACCGAAGGCATCCAGTGTACTACTTTATGCCGTAAACCCGAAAGGCATCTAACAAAAGCCTTAGGCCCCTACCGCAAGGACCTAAATGCCTCAAATGAAAAAGAACCCTAAACCTAGAATCCCGAACTAAACCCTGGACCCTAAACCCTAAACCTAGAATCCCTAACTAAACCCTAAACCCTAAGCCCTAAAAAGGGACCCCCTCAAAAAGCCAGGAGGCTGAGGTGGGTGCCCAGCACCACCTTACTTTCTTTAAGGCTGGTTTTAGGCTTCCAGGGTGTAGGGCATAGGGGTTTTGGGGTTTAGGGGTTTAGGGTTTAGGGTTCCAGTTATAGGGCTTAGGGGATCAGTGTTTAAGGTTTATCATCATCATTAGGGTTTAAGGTTTAGGGGTTTTGTAGGGTCTCTATGCGATATCCACGCATTTGGGTCAATGAGGTTTCAGGGTATATACCCTGCGAGTGGGGGAGTTCTACAGGCCTGTCGTAACAAGTTGTGAAGACGTAAGTGTACTCAGCTATATGACAATGAAGTTGTATGCCGTAAAGCCACTAAGGCGTGCATACACCTGTGACTATGACTTGCCATGAAGCTGTAAGTACTGAGCACTAGATGCAGACCAAGCCTTTCATCGTGATCGACTTGCAGGTGCTTTCCGGTTTTTATCCTGCATGGCTGCCCTAAACCCTAAACCAGGAAGCCTGCACAACGCTTCTATGGAACCCCTGAAGAACCCTAAGAGGCTTAAACCCTAAACCCAAAACCCTGAACCCTTATGGAACCCCTGAAGAACCCTAAGAGGCTGCCGCAAAAAGATCCAAGCTGCCAAGGGAACCCTAAAACGTTCTACAGACGTTCACCCCAAATCCTAAACCCAAGCCCTGAGCCCTGAACCCTCAACCCTAAACGCTAAGCCCTAAACCGAAACCCTAAAGCCGGACCGAGGTATCCCTGAACCTCTAATAAGGAATATTTTCCCGTAATTCCCATAGTTTAGGGTCCTTAAGGTAATGCTAACCCCTAAACCCTAAACCCCAAAATCCCTAGACCCTAAACCCAAGAAGACTGAACCCCTTTCATAGTTTAGGGCTCCTTAAGTATCCCCCCCATAAATAAGGACTATATACCATAATTCCCATAGTTTAGGGCTCCTTAAGGTAATGCTAAGGAGTTCTATCATCAGCCCCAAACCCGTAAAGCCCAAACCCCCAAAACCTAAAAAACCCTAAAAACCCTGAAGACGCCTAAAAGGCTCCCTCAAGCATTACTCATAGTCAGGATTTATACCATAATTCCCATAGTTTAGGGTCCTTAAGGTAGTGCTAAGGGCTAAGGATTTATATCATCAACCCCAAACCCCTAAAGCCCAAACCCTCCAAAACCTAAAAAAACCCTAAAAACCCTTAAGACCCTCAAACCCCCAAAACCTAAAATCCCCTAAAACCCTTAAGACCCTCAAACCCCCAAAACCTAAAATCCCCTAAAACCCCTAAGACACCTTTAAAAGGCTCCCTCATACCATAAACATCAGTAGTTTAGGGTCCTTAAGGTAATGCTAAGGATTTCGATCATCAACCCCTAAACAGTAGGGCTTAGGGTTCCTTAAGGACGAAATGACCCTTAAAAGTAGGGGCCCTATACCCTTATACTATGAATTCCTATATGATAGATGAACCTTAAAGCCTTTTAGGGTTCATTTCGTCCCTAAGGTTTAGGGTTGCTTAAGTTAGCTCCCAAGCGGCAAGGGTGGACTTGGGATCTCGGCGGTCTGAAAGCCTCGGACAGCCCCCCCCCGGGGTGTTCCAAAACTGGGCTCGTTGTTTAAGGAGCTTGTCATTTAGTGGTTTAAGGGCTCTTTTTTTATGGTTTAAGGGTTCTTTTCTTTTTAATGGGCTTAGAGGTTATGATTACTTCTTTCTTTTTTTTTTTTTTTTT